TGTGTGGTCATCAGCTGTGCGCTGTGTGTGGCTGTGTGTGGTCATGTGTGGTTATCAACTGTGCGCTGTGTGTGGCTGTGTGTGGTCATCAGCTGTGCGCTGTGTGTGGCTGTGTGTGGTCATGTGTGGCTGTGTGTAGCTGTGTGTGGTCATGTGTGGTCATCAGCTGTGTGCTGTGTGTGGTCATGTGTGGTCATCAGCTGTGCGCTGTGTGTGGCTGTGTGTGGTCATGTGTGGTCATCAGCTGTGCGCTGTGTGGCTTCTGTGCCGTTGGTGCGTTCTCCTCTGCCATTCGCATGTCCTATCGACTGTCGCGTGTATTTCGTGTTCCACTGACTTTCATCGCAAGTGAATTGATTTAAAATTATTGATTCACTGACTTTCATCGCACATAAATTAGTTTTGAATTAGTGTTCCACTGACTTTCATCGCAAGTGAATTAGTTTGAATTAGTGTTCCACTGACTTTCATCGCAAGTGAATTGATTTTGAATTAATGATCCACTGACTTTCCTCGCAAGTGAATTAGTCTTGAATTAATGTTCCACTGACTTTCATCGCAAGTGAATTAGTTTTGAATTAATGTTCCACTGACTTTCTTCCGTTTGTCGTGCGCATTCCCTTCGCCAGCGCAGACACGACCAAGCCACTGCTACGCCTGCTGTCGCCAACAGATGTCATCAAATTCACACTGAGTGAGTATCTCTGTGCTTTGCTTGAGTGTTTGTTGTGTGCTTAGCTCGAGTGTCGGTTGTGTGCTTAGCTTGAGTGTTTGTTGTGTGCTTAGCTTGAGTGTCTGTTGTGTGCTTAGCTTGAGTGTTTGTTGTGTGTTTAGCTTGAGCGTTTTAGGGTTTTGACCTGAGAATGGTCTGTGCGTGTATTCACCGTCAACCACATGTCTTATCTCATGCACTACAACAGATGAGAAGGCAGAGTTGCCGGACTTGATGGGCGTACCTGTGGAGGAGATGTTAGAGACAGAGGCCTATGCACTCGCCCCCACCACAGCACCCCTAGTAGAGGTATACATGCATGCCTACAGCCAAATATATATAGTGCCTCCATGTAGCAGATTCTCTTGTTATGGACTCACTTTTACGCCTCGTACGCAAATGTCTTGTTTTGTGCTTAACCGTAAACCTGCTACTCTTCTGATGTTATTCACTGTCGCACTCCCTTCCTGCTAACCCGTGGCTTGTATTCACATGTGTGGCTGTAGGCTGGTGTGTGTGTTGATACGTTATGACAAGTGATGTGTCATGGACCACTTCTTTGCAACAGAGTGTGCGTAAGTGGTCGGTGGCATCGTTTGTTAGGCACTGTAGTGTCTCTGTTCATTACGTAGTGCCTGTGCTGCATATGCGTGTGTTGTGTAGCCTATAGTTCTTTGCCATTGGTGTGATTATGCAGTATTGGTCTTGTCGCGTGGTTTGATGGATCCCTTTTTTTTCACCAGATTACGAAGTATCACTATACCCTGGTATTACCCAATACATAGGACTGCGACATTTTAAATACGTAATGACTTTTACGTACATACATTTTGTATCAATACCTAGGACTGCGACATTTTAAGTGTGTAGTGCCTTTCATGTACATACATTCTGTATCAATACCTAGGACTGCGACATTTTAAATACATAATGCCTTTTACGTACATACATTCAGTATATGATCTGTATACCGACCACGTATAGCTTGTTTTAACATCCGTAGCCTGAGCCAAACGGGGTACCATACACCTCAAAGCGTCGCTGTAATGCCGTGTGTACTATAGAGCTCGAGACCTCGAAGAGCGTACCTACGCACATGGGTCTATCATGCACAACAATATCTGATTGTCCCAGGTGAACGGTACACACCCAACTCTCCTAGCTACAAGCCACACACCACACTACACTTGCTCAGCTTCACCCCCTCTCACTCAACACACACACCACACCACACTACACTCACTCAACACACACACCCCACTACACTTACTCACTCAACACACACACCACACTACACTCACTCACTCAACACACACACACACTCAACACTACTACTCACTCAACACACACACCACACTACACTCACTCAACACACACACCACACTACACTCACTTAACACACACACAACATTACACTCACTCACTCAACACACACACCACAATACACTCACTCAACACACACACTACACTACACTCACTCAACACACACACCACACTACACTCACTCAACACACATGCCACACTACACTCACTCAACACACACATCACACTACACTTACTCAACACACACACCACACTACACTACACTTGCTCAACACACACACCACACTACACTTGCTCAGCCACACCCCCTGTCGTTCTATTTATCTGCAGGTATTCCATGATCTCGAGGAGAGTGCTATGGACGCCATTGGGCTGACCGATGCGTCGGGGGCGTTGGTGGCGCAGTTGTCTGTGGCCGATGTCATTCGCTTTGCCGATCAGATCTTTGACAACGACTGTGGCACGGTGTCGTTTGATGAGCGCGAGAGTGTGCAGCAGTTGTTCGATCGCCTGGGCCAACGGTTGCATGACCCTGTGTGTGTGCGGAGGGGTGAGACGTTTGGGGATTGCATTGCAAAGGTGTGTTGGCGCAGGATGAGTCATCAGAGGTGTAGTACTCTTGTGTGCGGTTTCCTCTTCCTCGTAGTTCTTTCTGTCTTCTGTGCGTATGAGCTGCGGCCAATGGGTCTGCACACAACGGGATATAAACCGTATGTACATTGTGTGTGTGAAATAAGGTGCCATTCTGCAACATGTGTTTTATACCTAAAAGATCTGTTTTCTTGTAGGTAGGCCGTGTGCATTCTCTATAGATATAAACATCCATTGCAGTGCTTCACATCGACTTGACATTTGGTACAACGAACCTCACGCCTACGCCACTCGACTGGTTGAAGTGACTTCTATTCATAACATTAAAATGCGAGTAGGCTGCACTCGACTAGTTGAAGTGACTTCTATTCATAACAATAGAACGTGTGTACACTGTGGTCACCGGTGGGTGCTAGCGTGCAGAATGGTCCTCATGCATCTCATATGCCACTGATGCATTGCTTAGCGTCCATGACTAACGTGTGAGATCCCTCATGCGTTTGGCTGCAATGGATCTCATACGCCCGGGAAGCTGACTTGTGCCTACCCACTGTGACAACCCATTGCGACACCGTGTGATGTGGCACTGTCTGTAGTACCTTGCATTCTGCGTAGATTCACTTCACTTCTCGTCAGTCGACAGTGCAGGATATGTGTTGTCATTGGTCATCTGTCGTGGCCTGATGACGTCACGTGCTGTTTTCTGTACATACTATTACCCAGTCCATAACCAATGACGTTCTGTGATACACTCTCCGTTGCAGATGATTGCGGCCTCGACCCATAGGGTGTGGATGGTAGACGACAAGGACGGACTAGTGGGGGTCATCCGACAGCAGGATGTCTTGAATGCCATCGCCAACTATCTGGGTCTCTAACGCGAGCACATATTGATATAAAACAAATAATTAAGCACTATACGGAAGAAATGCTTTAGATTCACACACTTATGTTATGGTCCAGATAGTAGAATTCACCGATAGCGAGGATGAACGTGGAGTGTGTATACGTGCACTGCCCTGCACGCCATTTTGATAGGTGCGTCTGTGATGGGTTGGTCCACGTTACTATTGGGCCAACGCGTATGTTCTTTCTCTGTGGTCGTGCGACAGTCACACTGGATGTGCACTCGCGTTCATTCCATTTGGGTTGAGCTGTGCGCAGTTAGAGAAGAGACGTTCCATAAGTGGACCAACGGTACTCTTTAGACGAGTGCTTGATGGTGACTAGCACTGGACATCTGGGGGGGGGTTTTTCTTCTTTTCTCATGATTTAGATTGGAATCAGTAGCTAGCTACCGGTTATTGGTACATGATTAGGTGAGGCAGTCAAGTGATTGGACTACATACTACCACGACCAATCATGAATAATAATATCCGCATATGACTAAGCTCAAGGTCGACTGTCAAACTCTACCGAGAAATTGGCACACTTTATTTGAGATGCTACCTTGATTGATAAAATGTTTTCAAAGTGACTCCCATATGAATGCAGTATTGGGCTTAGAATAGCGCGAACGTATCATCCGGAATATGAACCGCTTTTGGGACGAATCACGCCCAAACCCTAAATCAGTTTCATCCACCAAACTCTGGAGGCCCTCAACTGGCGATGGGGAACCAGAAGATTCAGGAGCTAAGCTACTCGCGCCGATCTCTTCCATTCCTAAATATAACAATGGGCGTATATGTAGATAGGCCATAGTATATATGCAAGCAAAAGGATTGGGCTCGGAACAACCAACCAACCGAAGCCATGTTTCAATACCGTCGACGATGCGGCGGTTCCCACATGTTGTCGGAGTGTGTTGCCACCCAATGATATGATCAGAGTGTATGTACCAATGGTACGATCACAGTGTATATATCAATGATATGATGTCAGTT